ATTGAAAGAGAGTTATACACACACCCCCCCCCCCCATTATAAGCCTTCCATCACATCTTAAATCTGCATTAAGAAACCCACACTCCCCATTACAATAAACACACCCAATCCCCTCCACCACATAACCCACATTGAGCAAACATGCCAATAGGAACCTGCAGCAAGAATAGCATAGTTCCCCTCACCACTAACCATTTTCCAAGTCATGGTGAGCCGCTACGCTGCATATGGTTTTGATGACTTCTTCACTCCCACAGCTGAACTGTGCCTTTCTTTCCAATTTCCAATCATTCCTGTTTCTTCATCAGCCATAAATGCTTAGCAAACATCACCAAAGGGGGTCCTAAACAATTCACCCAGAATCCCTGTCACTCCCTCCCTCAGACTGTTGCATAAAATTAGTGTGACCCCCACCCAACATGAGGTGAAGCTAGACCAGACTGCCCTGCACCTCACTGCATATAATTATTTGGAGCATCCCATGACTCATGACAAGAACACTTGGTTACAGTCATGAGTTAGGGTTAATTAGCACACGGATCCTTTCAGGTGGGGAGGAAGGGGGTATCTGGAGTACACACAAATACTGAACAGTGCTGAGCTATGGGTTTCAAATGCTGTTAACAATGATAATTGGCCCAGCCCAATTAACTATGTGGTATCACGAGCCTTTGTCTTTGGATTAATATCATGCATAATTTGTACTACATGTAAGTAGGTGCCAAAGTACTCAAAAGTGTTTATGGAGTACCTGTGCTAAAACTTGTAGCAGTTTTAAAAAAGGCATCAATTCTGTTTGAAGTCTACGGATACTACAGGCAACTGCTACAGCCATGCTTATTTCCAAGGCCATTGTTCTGAAATTTGCCCCTCACTTCCATGTGCTCGGGAAGACCAGGTGTCAAATAGTAAGGAGAAGGGGAAGGAGCTGGCAGGGGAAAAAGCTGGGAGAGCAAAGGGGAAACCTGACACCCCAGATTTATTTTCCCTGCTGTAGCAGTGGGAAGGGGAAAAATTCAAGGCAAATCTCCAATAATTCTACACCTGGAAAGTTATAATGAATCTATAGGTTTTCCATATATAGAATCTAATTACAAGGGGGGGGTCACCTTATAATCAGGGTCATCTTCTATTTGAGTAAATATGGTAAATGTAAGATGCCTAATGTGCCTTTAAACAAACTCCAAAGCCCAGGGAAACCATTACATGACTGAATGGATTAAGCCATGTGTTTGGGGAAGTTCGGTTAAATCTTAACTTTCCTATTTACTTACAGAATAGAAAGAAAGAAAAAGCGCAGCCTCTAAATGGAACTGGTGGGTTAGAAGGTAAAGCATAATAAGAAGGATCCTTTAGTGTAAACAGAAGTTTTGCCCACCTAAAATCCCATCACGAGCTTGCCTTTCAGTGGCTACAAGCTCCCCCTTCCTCATGGACACTAGCATCCTCCCATAAAACCCAGGATATCAGGCAATTCTTAGAGCATAAAACAGCTAAGGATCAGACAGTTTCTTATGGGTTAATGTAGTGTGTCTCAATAGAGGAAGCAATATTTTTGAAGGAAAGAAAGAAACCGGATGTGTTGGGTTGTTTGGACCGTGACTGATGAAACTATAAATAAAGCTAAAAGAATTTCACGCTAGTTTTAACCGCAGGCTCTCACCATCCACGTGAGATACATTGCAAACTAGTGGACACTACAAATGCTGAGTGATACGATATTTTTGTTTGAGCCTTGTTATTCTGTTATGTGTATTAAATAAACAGTGATTCACCAGTGTAACTTAGAGTTTCCAGAGTGCATCACTGATGTCTAACCTAAAAACACTTTGTTTGAGGGATTTTTTTTTTTTTTTTTTTTTTTAAG